CGGAAGCGAGACCCCCGGAAGCGAGACCCCCGGAAGCGAGACCCCCGGATACGGGTCCGGGTATGCGGGTGCAGGGATTACGGGCGCAGGGTCGCGGACGCAGCATCCCCCTCCCGCTGCCCAGCGGGGCAGATCTTAGCTGCTGAGCAATTGCGCCCCGAAGGCTCCAGCCTCCGGGGGCCGGGGGCCGCTTCCGGCGGGTTATTGGTGAAAGAGATTAGGAATTTAGGACGAGTTCGAAGTTCAAAGATCAAAGTAAACCGCTTGCTTGGTTTGTTAGAGAAGCACGTCCAGTTCCAGTCGCTGCTGCTCCCTCGGGTGCTGTGGCCTGATCTCCACGTGCCCTTTAACCTGGAGGACTGAAGTTTGACCTGAAGGGTTTGATCTTCCTTTTTTTTTTTTTTTTTTGTTACACTGGGATTTTCTGGTTCTGACGTTTCTTCCATAATCTGAAGGCCCGAGTATTTTTCTTAGGCTCGTTGTAGTCACAAAAATTGGCTTAGATCTTTGATACCCCAGAGATTTCTTAGACAGGAAAGCTATTCTTGTGCATAGTTATCGGAAGTTTCGTTTCTCGTGCCAGATAACTTCTGATAACTCAGTGCCAAATCCAGTCAAACTCTATACAGTGGATGAGTTTTATGTCAGTGCAAATCATCTCTTAAGAAACCTGCTTCTATGTATTTATGTTTTATTTTTATTTACTAATCTTTTTAAAGTCAGCTCCACACCCAAGGTGGAGTCCAGTATGGGGCTTGGACTCATGACCCTGAGATCAAGACCTGAGCTGAGATCAGGAGTCAGATGCTTAACAGACTGAGTCACCCAGGCGCCCCACGAAAGGTGTTTTTAAAAAGTCAGCAGTAGGATGAGTTTTTTTTCCTCAAAGGTGTTGACCTTTGTTTTCCAAAAAACTCATTTTGAACCCCCTTTTATTTTTTTAAAATGTTTATTTATTTTAAGAGAGAGAGAGTGCACGCATGCATTGAGAGCAGGGGAGGGGCTGAGAGAGGGGGAGAGAGAATCCCAAGCAGGCTCTGCGCTGTCAGCCCAGAGCCAGTCTTGGGCCTGATCCCATGAACCATGAGATCAAGCTGAAATCAAAAGTCTGAGGCTTAACCACCTGAACCACCCAGGTGCCCCTGAACCTCCTTTTCACATTCATCTTTTTAAAGTTTTATCTATTTATTTTTGGAAGAGAGTGAGCAAGTGCTCGAGAGAGAGGGAGACAGAGAATACCAAGCAGGGCCACACTGTTAGCACAGAGCCCAGTTCAGGGCTGGAATTCACAGACCATGACCTGACCCCTTATCAAGAGTTGGATGCTGGGATGCATGGGTGGCTCAGCGGGTTGAGCGCCCGACTCCAGACTAGGTAGGTCATAATCTCACCGTTCCCGGCTTCAAGCCCCGAATCGGGCTCTGTGCTGACAGCTCGGAGCCTGGAGCCTGTGTCAGATTCTGTGTCTCCCCCTATCTCTGCACCTTCCCTACTCAAACTGTGTCTCTCTCAAAAATAAGCAGTAACAAAAAAAAGTTTTTAAAGAGTTGGATGCTTAGCCGACTGAGCCACCCAGGCGCCCCACATGCCCCTGAACCTGCTTTTATTTTTTTTTTTTAATTTTTTTTTCAACGTTTATTTATTTTTGGGACAGAGAGAGACAGAGCATGAACGGGGGAGGGGCAGAGAGAGAGGGAGACACAGAATCGGAAACAGGCTCCAGGCTCTGAGCCATCAGCCCAGAGCCCGACGCGGGGCTCGAACTCACGGAGCGCGAGATCGTGACCTGGCTGAAGTCGGACGCTTAACCGACTGTGCCACCCAGGCGCCCCTGAACCTGCTTTTAAAAAATTATTGAAGTAATGCCTACAGAGGTAAAAGAAGAATTGGAAAAAGGACAGAAGTACATGAAATGAAAAGTAAAATCTTCTCTCATTTCCTGCCTCAGCCCCATTCTTCACAGGGGAACAGGATCTCGTGTTTCCTTTTAGAAATGTGTGTCTAGGGGCGCCTGGGTGGCTCAGTCGGTTAAGCGTCCGACTTCAACTCAGGTCATGATGTGATCTCGCAGTCTGTGAGTTCGAGCCCCGCGTCGGGCTCTGGGCTGATGGCTCAGAGCCTGGAGCCTGCTTCTGATTCTGTGTCTCCCTCTCTCTCTGCCCCTCCCCCATTCATGCTCTGTCTCTCTCTGTCTCAAAAATAAATAAATGTTAAAAAAAAAATTAAAAAAAAAAAAGGAAGTGTGTGTATAACACACACACATACGTGTGTATAGGTATGTGTGTATATAGGTGTGTGTATAACTTACATATCTCTTATTTTATGAAATATGCAATCATACTGTGTATGTATTCTGCACCAGTGTATTTTCACTTTATATCTAGGATGTTTTTCCACATCAAAACATAAAAGTCTGTTTCATTCTTGTAATGCTTACTTAGGTATCTATTTGCTGAATATTAAGGTCTGTTTAATCCCCTATTGATGAGCATTTAGCTTATTTTTAGGTGGGATTTTTGTCTGCTTCAAAATGCAGACAAATACGGGAAGAAAAACAACCACCTCCATGTTTTTAGTTCTCTTGGATTTCTCTGTTCAGCACCTAGTCTGGCGCATTGCTGTTTTCATTTTTCTCTTCTAACGTTGATCCTTTAAAACATACAAAATGTTTTGTCATTAGTTAACGCTTCTAAATAAGGTTAAATTGCTTGGCCTGCTTGCTAAATGTTCTTGATGCAACATACTTCAGTAGTTAGGTAACAATAAACAGCCTCCAGAATGGCACACCAGTGGGGGTAAGGTTATCCAAAGTAGGAAGGCATAATCCTTAAGGGGGCCTCTGAAAAATAACTGGAGCAGTGAGGTGTAACGATGTGTTTAAAGAACACCTTCAGCAGAGAGTTCAAGTTACCTTAATTTGTGAAAACATAAAAGGTTTTTTAAAGTTAAGTTTAAAGCCTTAATTGGCTTTACTTAATTGTAAACTTTTTTTCAAAATGAAGAAACATTGCTCTTTGTGTGTCCTTAACATCCCTTGACGGGCCTGCTGTCCTCTTTCTGGCTCCACAGGGAGAAAGGAAGCTGGAGGGAGGGGAGAGAGCATCATGGGAAAAGGCATCCAGCTTGCCTCAGGCACCTGCTCATTTTTAATAAGTCTTTAAAAAGGACAGTTCTTTACCAAAGAAAACAAAGTGGAGCTTAAGGAGGCGTTCAGGAGATTGTTATTACAGATGTTCAGTATCTCAGGACTAAGAACATATTCTCAATAAAAATGTTTCTCTTCTAATACTTTTCTCTTTGAATATTTCTCTCCTTCCTCTCCCTCTCTCTCTCTTTCTCTCTTTTGTGTGTGTGATTGGATCTTTCCCACAGGATCAGAGCCAGAAAAGAGGTGTTGTCTTCTATTGAAAAAAACTAGAAGTGAACTATACTTATTATAAAGGAAGAAAAACACGTCACGAGACTATACAAAAGAAAATTAAAATCCTCCTAATTACAACACCCAGATACAATTGTAATTAATCCTTTAGTGCCTTATGTGCTTTTTTCTTTCTCTTTTCTCTGTTGGCATTTGTATGTCCAGCAAAACCTCGGTTTGCAAGCATAATTTGTTCCAGAAACATGCCTGCGATTCAAAGCACTCATATATCAAAGTGAATTTCAAGAACCATGGGTGCAATTGTGATCATGGGACGTTTGGCATCATATACTACTCGTTTTGCAAGACCTCGCTCGTTTATCAAGTTAGAATTCATTAGAAATGTTTGCTCGTCTTGCGGAACACTCGCGGAACAAGTTACGTGCAGTCCAAGGTTCTATTGTATTTGCAAAATTGTTGCATTCTAAATGGTTGTTTATATACCTTTTTTTCTCACTTACTTTGAGCATGCTCACATGCCACGAAGCGGTCTTAAGAATGATATATTTTTTAACATTTCCCTGTTATTTGGACACTTAGGTTGTTAACCAGCCTCTGCCATAATAAATACCATTACGACTATCCTTGTACATGAATGTTTCGTAGCATCTCTGCCTATACTTGTGTCCTTCCAATAGCAAGTCCCTGTTGTGGAGTTTCTATAAATATGGTATTTCATGAGGGTGCTGTGTTTTTGTTTTTGTTTTTTAAGTTTTTTTTTTAATGTTTATTTGTTTTTGAGACAGAGAGAGAGAGAGAGACAGAGCATGAGCGGGGGAAGGGCAGGGAGAGAGGGAGACACAGAATCCGAAGCAGGCTCCGGGCTCCGAGCTGTCAGCACAGAAACCCACGAACCACGAGATCACGACCTGAGCCGCAGTCAGCTGCTTAACCGACTGAGCCACCCAGGCGCCCTGAGGGTGCTGTGTTTTATAACCTACAGCTGTCATCTATAGCTAAAGTTCATTTTTATTTTTTAAAGTTTATTTATTTTGAGAGAGACAGAGACCATGTGAGCAGAGGAGGGGCAGAGAGAAAGGGAGAGAGAATCCTGAGCAGGTTGTGAGCTGTCAGCATGGAGCCCAACGCCAGGCCTGAACTCTGGAACCGTGAGATCATGACCTGAGCCAAAATCAAGAGTCAGACGCTTAACCGACTGAACCACCCAGGCGCCCCTATA